CTTAAAGGTGGGAATATATTTTTAGCAAACTTCGTTGTCTATAACTGCTAAACTCGACGTAGTAATCATATTCATCAGGTAACAGTATCAAAAACTCAGTACAAAAAAATCACATACACTACATGTACATTATTTTACAACACATTGCCAGATGACGTTAAACGATTAAATTCGATGCAAGAGTGTAAGTCCCAGATACAATCCTTTCTGATGCACAAATGTTTCTATACAATTAGAAACTATACCGAGCATCCAAAAGAAAGAAATAATAATTAACAGTGACATTTAATGTACTATTTACCATTTGAATTGTATAATTCTAAAGAACCTGTAACGAATATAGTACCACTCGCGCAAATTTTCTTGATTCACGAGCTCCCTAGTCCTCACCCAGCGCTGAATAGCACGGCACGTTGAGACACTTAGGTTCGACTCGGAACGGCACGTATCTGTTTACAATGCTCGCAACAATCATCTCGTACTTTCAAACAATCGTAACATTTCTCCTTGGCACACTTTGGTAAATTAGTTCGTGCCTACAGTTGGTACGCTCTTTTAAGCCGTGATGTAGCAAGAGCCCTCATCTCCTCGCACCCCCCGCTGTGAAATATCAAGAAAACTTGCGCGTATAATACTTCAGCTTCTGGATCAATGACCCCCTTCTCGATCAGGTTTTCGTCCACTTTCCCTGATCCTTTGGCAAATGCTGAGATGACCCCTTGTTTTGATTCTGGACATAAATGTAACTTCAAATTAATTTCTCCCAATAGCACGTCACACAATATTTGTAAATGATTTTTGACGTAAATAAATAAATAATTCTATATTTACAAAACTAGAGCTGATTGGGCAAAACTAATACTTTTTTTGTAATCAGTGACATCGATATACCCAGAAAAGGTTTAATATTTCAGGTACAAAATTGACCAGTGTATTGACCAGTGTTGGTGATTCCGGGCGCATCAACTGCTAAGGTCATTCGTCCAGTAAATGTAATGCATGTTTGTCCCCGGGTCAGACTTGCTAGGACCACCGCGAGAGGCACAAAGACCACACCGCCGGCCCAGCGCCTTTTCGATGAGCAATCTCCGTGCTCATGGTCAGAGTTCATGGTAAGAGTTCATAGTTCATAGGCTGAATGCGCTTCGCACACGTGAAACCGCTGTCCTCGGCACGTACATTGGTGAATTAAGTGCGCTACCTTGCCTTCGACGAGCACTAAACGAGTTCTCGCCGCGTGTAGTCATAGTGAATCTGCCATCGGCGGGTACTACAGTTCGGTACGGGCAGACCCTACTCACACACCGACAGTCACTTGCTGGCGAGAGACCGTGTGTGCCGCACGCACACTCCTGCTGCCAGGGACCACCTAGGGCCGGGTCCTCGGTCAAGGGCGACAGACGCTCCCCGTAATCGGTGAACTGTGTATGACGCCTACATTCCCTCTTGCTCGGGAGACGAGCACTACCGAGGTCAACACAATAAAACTAAAAATTAATCATAAAAACTGCATACTAATTTTTTAACTCGAGATCAATTCGCCGCTTTCGCGTTACAATTTCGAATTCACGGTTCTTTTTATCAGATCATTAGTTAGACAAAGTAGTCGATTTAACGCGAAGTATGAAACAGCACTTCCGCTACAACTCGACACACGACGAACGAAATAACATTGCACGCACTGTTTCGACTTCATGGACTATCACTAAGGTACCTTTCCTTACATGACGATTTATGCACTTCTGCCCCTGGCAGGTATCAGATGTTGACACTATGTTGACGTGACAGTGACGTCACTATGTTGACGTTCAAGCTCCCGATTGGATGAAACTGTCAACATCTGATACCTGCCAGGAGCAGAGATGCGAAAAGCGCAGAGCACATGAAGGGAGTGACCTTGTTTTGTTAGGCCTGCTAACCCACATCGAATTACCCAGCTGTACTGAATCAGGTACAGTTTGCAAACTTGCATGAGCTGTGGAAAAAGACGGTCGTGCCTTCTGCCTCCCGCACCCCGCTTCGGGGTCCACAATCGTGGCACGTGACTTTTGGATTCCCAGGCCTGCTGACGAATTATGACTGCATCAGAGGAAAAAGTGTGGAAGGTCTTGGAAGGAGATATTCAAACGCCAGTGACAACTCAGAAGTCTGTGGTGTGAGAGGCAATGCCACATCTCTGGCAGCCGAAGCCACACAGTTTGAACACAGCGCATGGCCGTGAGTTCAATGACCCTATGACCCTGCCAACGAAGCGAGGTCCTTCAAGGGATGTTTCTCGGCCCGTCACATCCAGCGAGGGGACTAACGCCAGTAGGACAGCGCACGTAAATGGCGAGACGGAATAGAGAAACAGAATGAGAGAGAGACATACGGAAGAATGTAAAATACTTTACCAAAAATATTTTTAAGTGTTGGAAAACTAGCGGGTGTAACACATCACTCGCATACATTGAGACATAAAAAAGAGAGTATTAGTGACAAGTGTCGCCTATGTAAGAAGGCCACCGAATCTATTCAACACATCCGCAGTGGATAAGTAATATATCGGTTGTATAATTAGGAAAACGAAAAATTGAGAATTTTCTAAATGTACTTTGGGCGGCGATATATGACAGCTGGCAAGAGGTTGGGACAACTCCGAAGGGCTAGCCGAAACCAAAAGAAATTAGAAAACTAGTACGAGAAAGTTTCTGCCATTCTGCAGCACCATTAGTAATAAATTGTGTTAGTAAAATTACTCAGAAATGTGTTGAATTCCCACGTCTCTTGTGCAACTCCAGCAGTAATCTGCCATCATGGAACCATTCCAGATACCTTGGTAGCACTGCTCCATTGTTAGTTGGTTAAGAAGTTCACCTTGTTCATTACTAACGTCACAGTGATTATCAGATAATAAATATAAATGGGAGTTAGAAAGTGTTACTTAAGTGACATTCTACAGCTCAGTTTTTTAAATGAATACAAAAGTCTGGTGATTCCATTTACAAAATCTGGCTCCCCCCTAGGAATGTTCACACACCCACTAAAAACTTGTCAATACATCTTGTTCTGGAATCATTTGTGTGAGAACGCGCATATTTAAAATCTCTAAAAATAAATATCTAATACCAATGACAGTTACGACTTCACAATTTTTTTTTTACTTGTTTTCGCTGTACGGTAATTAATAGCTTCTACGAAACAACGTTATGTTTTCGTAGTTTTCCTTTAAGTGCTCTGAATAAATGGGAATGGAAGGTGTTATTTTCCCATTGTGTAAAAAATCTTCAAACTTCACCAGGAAGAGTCGCCATTCTACAATGTTGTATTCTTCTCTCTTGTAGTTTGCTGAGGATGTGAATGTCATTCCCAAAAATCATCGGTCAATCTACTGTGAAATAGTTTTTGAATTCATATCTCCTGCGATAGTGGCAGATTTCAGCATCTTCAGTTAAAATATTTATTTCGTTTAGTCTTGACGCAAGAATTTCCGCCTTTTCTTTTGACAGTGAAAGGTATCTTACGAGATCATTTAATTCCTGCTGATTAAAGAGATTTGTTTTTGAATTTGTATTCTCAAGGGCAAACACATCATGGGACAACTCGTCACTACACAAATCGGGAACTGGCAAACACTCGTGTAAAACTGGTGTCCTTGCTGACGGTATTTTCAAATACGCCATTTTTTTGGTTTATTTTTTGAAGATAAACCTTCAATAGTGTTGCAACAAAAGTATCAGTCAACAATATGGTGCTTTGGCTTGCGCCATACCATCGGTATAACAAATGAAATTTGACGTTTTCATTTATTTAACCAGTTATGCAAACCATTCGAACATATAACAAAAGTAAACAAAAACACAGTGAAAATATAGGTGATACGTCTTTTCTATACCTGCGGTAATTCCACGCCTCTGACGTTTTGTTGTGAAGGAACCATTCACGTAGAAAAATGTTTGGGCTACTTTTACACTTTTCGGGCATTTCGATGGTAATATTAATAACACAACAGACATAGAGCAAAGACGCACTTGCTCTTCCGCACGCAACAACAACACTAGTCTATACTAATATCGTATTTCCATGCGGAATTCGAAAAAGCTCCATTGACAACACGTGACTCTCCAGCGAATAGGCACGTGTCTCTCTATTCGCAGGAGAGAGAATTTGTGGGACACGTGCCGGACAAAGGGACCTGAATTGCTTCTTAAGTACCTATTTGATAAAATGATAACTTTTTGTGACTTCTAATAGTGCTGGAGATTAGCTCTTCTAATGATACTTACACCACGGCAGGGGTGGTCAGATACGAACAGTAGCTCAAAATCTACGTAAAATTAAATTGAAGGCATAGAGACAGAAAATATACTCCGTAATAAAAAAATAAGAAAATTACTCGGTGCTTACGTGTGTTTATTGCTATAAAGCAAAGTTCCGGGGCTGGCCATCCTAAGTTTGGATCTAGTAATTTTAATTTTTAATTTTATACCACAAAAAATAAAAATTGCATAATGTTCACATGGGTCCAACTAGCCCAATATAATTTGGAAACAATGCTTCCAGGACTCATTAAATTAAGATTCCCTGTCCCTTTGGGAACACAAGTCACATTTCTTATGCTGTAAACTACAGAATTATACTTTTTTGGGCGCTCTATTCATTGGGATACCCACCCTCCTTGGCACGGATTGTCAAAAACGTTTCAAGTTAAGTTCCAATACAAAACTCGTTTCATTTTTAGAATTAGGATTTAAATAGTACATAATTTCACAAGGGTCCAACTATTATTTCATTAAGGATCAAATGTTCATAGATTATCTTCAATAAATATTTTAAATTATTAATCTTATCTTCTAATATTATTTCTATTAATATTTTTTCTGAGAATTTTTCAAATTTGAATTCTTGAATCCAAGACTACTTATTAAATACAAATAAATTAAATAATTATCTTTGTATTTTTAGGCAAAGAGTGGTTCAGGAATAGGGCACATTAACTACTACAAAAGATGTCAATCAAATAATATGTAAAAAGTTAATATAATTCAGAAAAACAGACAAATACCAAAGTGCATATTAAGTTCTAATATCAATAAAACTCTTGTAAAGCAAAAACATTGGATAGAACAATGTACTCACCTACACAGACATTTCCTTTTATAGAACTGTAATGATCATACTGATTTGTGCTGGTAGCTTCAGTGCCTTTTACCTCAAATGACATAAATAAATCTGAACAATTGATATCAATTTGTTTGGTATCCTTGAAGGATTATAAGAAAGAAATTAAAATTAAATACCACTCATTTTATAGAAATACTCTGGCCACAATTATACAAATAATTTAACACTAAAGTTGCAATAAAATAAGTTGTTTCACAGAAATTACAAAATAATTTTGCAATGAAAACAGCAACAATTGTTCATATAACTATAACAACAATTGTGAACAAGAACAAGTTCTATCTTTTGAATTAGAGACCAAAATGACAACATAAGTACGACTCATTACAAGAATGATTTTCACACCATTATTTTTGAGAACTCAGCATACAAACACCATTATGTTAGTAGCAATATTATATCGTCACTTCCTTCCACTTTCCTGCAGATGCACTCTAAACATTTTGAGGATCACATCAGTCATCAAATGAGCCTACTACACAACACATAATATATTTAATGTAAGCGTTAAGACAACTTACCCTCAGAACATGTGCAGACTTCACAACATTCTGGTATTCCTCATAGCACCATTTTCAACACAATTACATGAAGTTGAAGGAAATAACATAATTTAAACTTATTTACACTGGTACAAAGAATACCAGTATTTCTTTATTAAATGAGATCAACAATGCATGAAACAATAAATTTTATTAAGATTCTTTTTTCTTTGCATAATGCAGCATTTTACAATAGTCATTGTAGTAGTTATCACAAAAGATAAACCAACTCAGTCTCTTAAGTTGTTTTCAAGTGTATTACAATGTGCAAAAATATGTGGTACTAATTCTCTCATAAAAAAATACAAGCAATCATGACATTGTGGCAATATCATTGACAAAGGAAACAATATAGAACACTGATTCAACACATTTACTCATCACATTTAACAGTCATTTCTCATAAATGACTGTTCTGATCATCAATGAAATTCTGTAAAAGCATTTGGGACAATGTAAAACACACAATACAAAAACAGAGATATGAAGTGAATACTGAAATATGTATCCACCATCTTCATGATTACTATTCAAAACACAAGAAATAAATAATGATTTTTTTCCAGACACCCATAGTTACGATATTATTTACGAATTCAAAAACCTGCAAGAGGATTATGCATTTTGACAGATGTCAATAACAATATTACATCTATATACATAATATACACAGCAAACAAAACAAGAACATTAAATTAAAATTGCAAAACAATTTATAAAAGTATTTACATCACATTTTGGACATAGATATTAAGGATATCACAAAGACACTACGTTTCTGAAAGACTTGGTAGAGAAGGTTCTGATTCAGCTCTTTTCAAAACATGTTCTTCACAAGCTGCACTGTTTTCAGTATCTGTAGCACCTACATCAGCCTCCACATTGGCTTGAATATTTGGCTCACTAAGACAGACTGCTTCAGTACTAATCCCATTTTCTTTAGTAAATTCTTCCTCTGTCTCACAAACTTCATTTAACAGTGCTTCATTCAGACAGACATTGTTAATGCTAACAGCACTGTTGGAAAAAATGGCAGCTGGTCCCAGGCTGCATTCTGGGGGATTCTCCCTCAGCAAATCATTTTCTGCTTTCTTAGGGGAAGCAGATCTTTGGCATAACAATTCATCATTAACACTAAGTGTCCTACAAACACTAGGATGCTCTGCAACAGGGCTGTATTGTGAATCACAATTTTTTACTTGAATTTGTACAGGTGATTTTTCAGTCTCCACAATATTGAAAGAGGCATTTGTGCGGCTAGAAGACTGCGAATGTGGGGATGACAGGGCACGTTCGTGTTGGTGCTGGGTGATCAGATCACATGCCTTCCCTAGGAGCACAACACTGTTCAGCACCCGAAAAGATGCCAGGCAGCAGTATGCCAAGACGACAAGCACTAGAGCAGCAGGGCCCTCTACGTGGAGGGCATGCGCCAGCACTCGCACCATTACCACCCCCAAAGGCAGAGGGATAAAGCCCATCCGTCGGGCAACCAAATCGGAATGGTCTGAAAAGGCCTGCAAACAAAATAGCAATATCACCACAAGCTTTGCACAAGATTATTTTCTATTAGAGCCTGATGCAAAAATTTTGTCAGTTTTCATCAAGAGACACTTTCATTTTTAGACAAACCACAAAATTCTATAAGAACTTTAAAATTAACCAAATTATAATAAAAAACAAGAAATTTTCTAAGTGTGAATAAAAGAGAATTCAAACATTCTAGGATTCTTTGAAGAAATGAATAATTCCTCACTCCTTGTTTATTTTACTCTACACTACAGTTTCAAATTCAACCTTGTTGCCTTTGAGGAATTTATAACCCTTTCTTTACAGGAGAGGAAATATGACCAGAGATTTAAATGAGTATGAAGTATAAAATTAAAAGCAAAAAATGACAGGCTGAAAATGGTGCAAACATTAACGATAGAGTTTACTGTACCTAGCATTTAGTATAATGATAGAAGGTGCTGCATTATTTTTAGACATTTGAAATAACAACAACAAAATGAACGAATTCAACTCGCAGACATTCAAGACATATTCTTAATACTCCAGAATTCAATTGTTTATTTCGAAGTTTCTTGGAAAAACCTTACATAAAGATTAACATGAAAATAAAGAAAATACAAATAATTGTTTCAAAACAATTCAATGACTTAAATGAAAAAACTTCCTGAAAGAAAACATTTTGCCTAATTTAAATATTAAGTTCAGTATCAAGACCAAAAATTATTATTATTTTAAATAAATCCCACTTCTTACCACCTTCCTTCATAAAATAAAATTTGAAGTCAATTACAAAGACTTCTAAAAATAAAAATTAAAGAAAAATTTTTCAACATTTCTTCATATTTTCAGAACTGTGTTTTTCATCTTTTTCCAATATTCTAGGTGTAGGCCGAATATATAGTTTTAAAAAATAGAAACAATACAAAGAAGAAGAAAATTAAAGATAACCCACGAGATAAAAGAGGTTCATTTGGGGCAAGTACAATGAAAGTCCACCACATTCCATGAACGATTTTTCTTGGAAAGGACGCCGAAACCCATAAATTGTACAAAAATTACACTTATTAATGAACCACTCCTTTCCTCGACCACTAACCAAGCTTTAAAAGCAATTTTCTTAATTTACCCCTTTTAAGAGACACTATCACAAAAATTGTAAGTATACATTACACCAAGTTTTCAATAGTTAAAATGAAAATTGGTGATGTAACACTGGTGCAACATGTCTGGTGCCTCAACTTCACTCCCGAGGAACTCAGAGGACAGGAGGGTCTGGGATTCAAGTAACAAGAAATCATGGCCAATGATATGAATAAATTAGTTTTAATAAAGTAATACGGTTGCGTGCTCTATTTAGTTTCATTTCTTCTAATGTGACAGCAGATATGAAAGTGACCTAACGTTTAATTCTTTGAATTAACTGTCTTCCTTAGCTTACCTTCCTGGAAGAACATCTGCTGCAGTAAAATATAGGTATCGAAAGTCAGGGTTCAACTTTTCCCCCAACTTTTTGAGGGGGAGTGGGGTGTGTGTGTGTGTGTGTGAAGTGAAAAACAACAACAACAACAAAAATAACAATAAAGTTTTAAGATTCTAAGACATAGCATGGGCCGTTCATATCCAAATGAAAGGTTGAGTCTAAAGTAAGACTTCTTCGGTTAGGAGGTTCGTTTCTGGTAAGTCAACAATTGGGAGTACTACAACTGAACACTATTTAAACTTTTACTTTCACACAAGAGAAGGGGATATAAATATTTTAAATGCATTTAAAACATTTGTGTCCATAAAGCAAAATTAAACTTTGTCAAAATGTTTGATTTTTCATCATTTGTTCTCATATTACCTAAGAAAAGTTGGTTTCCCACTATAAAAAATGTCTGAACAATGGTGACAACTATATAGAAAAATAGTTAAAGAAATGATCTTTCATGTAAAAATAAATTTTGTTTCAAAAAACAAATTTTTAAGAGTTTTTTCCCCAAAACAGTACTTACTTCAAAAGCACGCCTCTTGTATCAAAATCAATGTTAAAGTATGGTGTAGAAGTTTAGAAAATGGAAGCAAAGAACACCAGAAGTATGAATGTAGCTCAGATAGAAGTTTTTAGGGGAAGTTTTAGGCGTAACAAGCACAGACAAAATTTGGAATGAAAAATTTAGAAAATAACAAAAGCAGAAATCTTAGCAGAAGAAGTACAACAATTTCCGAGAAAATGAAGAAAATGTGCAAAATGATTACAGACACTGAGGAAGGCAGACAAGATGATGGCACCAGCAGTAACATTTCAACACGTGAAGTAATACATTAGTACCTACTAGTAGTGCAGTAAAATCATTCCTAACTTGAGGGGGTAGGTGATCATAATGACAGTAAAGCAATAATCATCATTATTATTACTAGCAGTAGTAGCTTAGTAGAAGTTGCAGCAACTTGCTGAATGACACTGCACCAGGCTAAGAACCTAAGGTTGGCTTAGAACAGGCTTAAATCCCAAAGATACCAGACACATTAAAAACAATAATAGTAAGCGATTCATAATTACATACATTCTACAATATTACAGAGTAAATTGTAATACTTCAACAATTTGGGTACATATGTATACAATTGCAAACATTTGTTTACAAATTCTTTCATAATGAAAATTTTACACATATACTTTTCTTATATGCTTGCACAGGTAAAGGTTAGTATAGTTATGAATAATTTTTATATATTATATTATATTTAAAATTATTTAAGAACATAAATATAACCAATAGTAATTCAACATGTTTCCACAAGCCATGCACCTAAAATAATCAAAGCATTTTCACTAATTACAAGATAAAACAGTTATCTCTATTATATATAAATATAATAGTCGATCCGGTGTCCGAGATCGCTAAAGCAGTAGAGCCGTAGCGATCTCGTACCGAAAGATCGCGGGTTCGAGTCCCGCCTCGGGCAGGGTTGTATTGTGTTCGTCCTTTCACCCCTTATCATCCATCATCCTCCATCTCTCATTATCACCTTCCTGAATAACATTCAGAATTGTAACTTGAGGATTTATCCTCACCTCAAGGTGATACCGTCAACAGTCGACCATGAACAATAAAAAGTGAAGTGGAATGACTCAAGTGGTCCAATGTGGCCAATCAAGTTAATAATAATAATAATAATAATAATAATATAAATATAATTACCTATCTTTAGATGCAAATTAATAGTACTTACATGCTCTTGTCGAGTTTGTGCCATATCATAGGCCAAACTTATGGTGTAATCCCGATATACATCAACAGGAAGTTCATTGAATCTTGTGATAAACGCATGTTTAATCCAGTCCACTAACACCTCAGCAAGAAGAACCATTAAACAATCAGGAACCAAAACCCAGAACCTCTCTGAAACATGCAATTTAAACCCTTAAGTGGTCACCTATTTTTGGTACATCAGAGGTTGTGCAGTTGACTATCTATCATTGAGTTTTTATCTGTTATGATTTCAGAGAAAGTACCATTTAACAAAATATGCACATCAAAAATTTAACATAATATACACATATACCCCAAGACAATTAATTATCCAAATTGAAAATACTCAAAAGTGACAGTCACACTACAGAGTAATAACACTTGTGGAAATAGAAATGATGAATCTTTGACTTCATCAACAAATGCAATCACTTGAGGATAAAAGGACTAATACATTTTATACATAGGATGACAAATTTTAAAGGATAAGAGATTAAATTTTATATGACAACATTTTATGATTGCAGATAATTAATGATTTTCATATGCCTTTCTATTTTTGCCCCCTATCTCAATCTTATTTCATTACCTCAAACATTATAATTACCTTCTTTCCAAGAATATTCTTTCATTGTTTGTAAAACCACTATAAATAATAGTACAAACAAATGGAACCGTTCACGTACATCACTACAGGACACTTGAAATAAATTATTCTTATCAAACTTCTTAAAAACACTGCCCTTCAATTCCACAAACTGAAAAATAAAAACAAGCAATAAGTAACTAAGTCTGGTTGTTTGAGATAATTCAGTGATAGGTAAAAGCACTCACATTATTTGACATCATTATGGTCAGCAAAGCTTTGTTATTAGAATTTATTGCAACGTTCAGTGTTGTTGCTTGAAATAATACAAGCAAGCTATGTAAGACTGAGTACACATAAGGAAAATATCAATTGTTGGAAATACTTCTGGATATTTTTGTAGGGTTTTTAGTAAACTCACGGTGGAAAAAACAAAACTTTCAGTATCAGGGACCTTCAAAACATGCATTATCATAAAAAATCAATTTTTAGCAGCATTACAATGCTTGCTCAAAACCAAGGGTGTCCAACTTGCAAAGCCTCAAGGACACAACTAAAATCTTTAATATGGTTGCGAGCCATATTTTCATTACTCCGGTGACCCACACAACCCCATATTGTTACTCAGCAGTTTGCCCAGCTGCTCTGAAACGGGAGGAGGGGGTGGAACCACATATGATATCAAGTACCTGCCATGCATTAAGCAGTGGAATAATTTTGAATTTCTGAATTTACTAGAAAAAATTCCTTAAATCAAAATTTCACCTATTTTGACATTAAGGGGGTGTTGACCCTTTCAGGGTCAATTCCCTGGGTGCATTCGCTAGATGCAATATTCTTGCCTGACATGGATGCAAGGGACTTTCACTTCTGTTAATTGACATTTCATGGGCCACAATAAATGGCACCGCATGCAGCCCATGAGCCACCAGTTGGACAGCCATGCTCTAAACTATGTTTGCGAGAAAGTGAAAATAATTTTATTCAGAAACATTGATTACATTTCCATTTCAAATAAAATAACGGACACTAGAAAGACCCATGGTACTACAGAAAATTTTCAAATGCTTCTCACCATTCTACATGTACATGAAGAGAACTTCCACCACCGAACACAACTATTAACAAGGATGTTTATGTAGCTTGAAAGCCCTACAAGACTCCATTTCTTCCAAAGATATCACTCACTCTAATCTTCCTGCCATCAACCAACAAGTCACATCCACACAACCTCAGTTGTATCGTTAAAAAAACAAAACAAAAAAACACTACATCTTCTGGAGAATCTATCCACTTCACGAATCAATGCACAGCCTTATTACATGCCATTTGACTAATTCTCTTTGAAACGCTAATATACTTTTGCTCCCATACATCTATCTTCTCTCTTGTTTTATTACTATATTAAATGGTGATGCTGTCAGAGAATATTTGTACGTTACAGCTGAAGTCTGATATATGGGTAATTTGTAAATTAACCGGTTAATTCTCACATTAGACAAAGTTTGACTTAAGAAGAATGAAAAGAATTTCGGATATCTGACTAATGTTGGCATTAGCCACAGGGCACTGGCTAAAGTAAGACGATTGTCGCAGTGCGAGGAGTCTTGTGTGTTTCCAATAAGTGTCTTGGCAAAAAAACATATCGGAAATTATGCATCACACAGACTACAGGTTGTTTTATGTAAATCACAATCATTAGAGCCTTCTCTACTTCTCATAAATCTGTAGTAAAGTGTCAACTGAAGTATTGAGTGAGGCTTTTATTTTATTTATTATTATTTATTTTGTGCATCATAAATGTCTCTTACTATCACTCTACGAAATACACCAATAAGTTTCTTAATACTTTTTGTAGTTATTTATGAGTTGAGTCATGAGTGGGGTTAAAGAGTTTCAGTAGGTGAATGTTCTATTATGAATTAACATTAATCTGTGCTTTATTTTCTTAATTCTGTTGCAACCCACCTACGATGCATAAGTCTTAATCACACTGCAAAAAGTCTTACCTAATGAACTTCAAAATGAGACCAAACACATTCAATTTGAGAACAAACACTTTCAATTTGGGAACAAACTCAAATTGAGACATATCATTTTCATATTGAATCAAAAAGACTTCAAATCTTGAAGTAAACAGGCAATTGTTGTAGTTGACAAAGGAAGTTATGTGTATAGTTGGGTTCAGTTTTGTTGTTCCAGACAAGTTTTTCTCGTAGATTAATTATGCCATATGTTAAAGAAAGAGAGGCAGAAAGCATCCAACAGCAAAAATGTGCTTTATTTAACAATAATGGAGATCAGAGAGGTCCGGCAAATACGTTTGAAGTAAAAAAAATCTACTGCTTTTAGAGGGTGAAGAACCAGAATGAAAGCAAACCACAGGGTGGAAGGAGGAAGGTGAATATTACAGAAGAACATTGTGAATTAATTGTTGATTGTATTGAGAAGAATCCCAGGCTTACACTAAAGAAACTTCAACGAAAAAAAAAAAAAAAAAGTCATGAAATTATTGTGTTCACAGAATGTTCATGGAAACATTTAGATGGTTTATTATTCATATTTAAGGATATTTGAAGAGAACCAGAAAAAACTAACAATGATGAAATGAAAACAAAACCTTGCAAATATATTCTGCAGCTATTACGTTACCAAGCACACAATGTTGTTATTGTACACATGGATGAAACCAACTTTATATTTCCCAAAAGCAAAGGCGTTATAAGAATGGAACACAATGTGGTTATATAGCAGCATGGAGTCGTGAATGTAATGTCCATGTTATTGATTGTATAAGTAACGATGGATTAATTCATCATTAAATAAGAAGAAGACATTTCAGGAAAGAACATGCTAATAACTTTCTTCATCAGTATCTCTACGCTGCTGAAAATATCAACCAAATGTCCGTGGTACTGGTAATAGACAATGCTTCATACAGCATTGAATAAATATTTATGGAGGTAGAATTTATAGAACATAGCTTTTTGAGATTAAGACCTAATTGTCCTATGTTCAATCCAATTGAACTTGCCTGGTCATCTTTTAAATCTGCCGTTAAGAAAGATCTGTCCACATAGTTGCCAAATATATTAACCGGTGAAGAAAGAACAAATATATCTCAAAAAGAATTTCAGCTCTGTGAGTTAGAAAAAGTTATAAATAACAATATCAATACAATAAATGTCAATAACTTTGCAAAGTTCATTTCTCATATTCAAAGATTTATTCCAGATGCTTTAAAATTAAATGATATGTGTAAATAATTTAATCCATTATTTTTATGTTTCGTGCATTTCAATAAAATGTATTCCAAATTAATTTTTTGCTTTTTTTCTTCATTTTAATGCTGTGGTTCTCAAAACGAACATTTATTCTCACTTTGAATGTGATTTGTTCTGATTTGAAAGTGTTTGGTCACGAATTGAGAATGTTTGGACTCTATATGAACAAGCTTGTTTTCAATTTGAAAATATTTGTTTCTGATTTGAAAGTGCTTGTTCTCAATTTGAAAATGTTTGATCGCATTTTGAAGTTCAAAGGAAAAGTAGTATACATAAATCTATGTTTTCATATGATCGTACAAAAAACTGTAATATGGTTTATTTCTTAACGTTCACTTCTTATTGCACGAGGTGAAATTTGTTGCCACAACATCCAAGACTGGAGCTAGTACACTGATACATAAATTCATAACCAGCTATTAATAATATTACTTAATAAAAATTTCAAATAAATAAGACTTTGTCGATACCATTAACTTCCAAATGAAAAATACTTCATAACCACAATATTTACACCTATTTACATAATTGAAAATATATTACGCCTAAATATTAGCAAGATTTATTTAGTGCCGTTGTTAATAAACACATCTTGTTTAAAATGATGATTAATTTCAAACTAATTATTTATTACCATGACTAATAATGAGTACTACACATAAAACAAATATTTGCTAATACTGAAAGGATACAAACATAAGCAATGGCAAAAAACAAGTGGGGAAGCAGACCCAAATGTTCTCTCTTTCTATCACGTGGTTCAGTAGCAGTCCAAAAGAGTGCGTCAATGGTGTCTTGACCAAACGCTGAAAACAATCTGTCACCAACCTAAAAACAGCACAAAAAAGTCCATGAAAAATTCATCCTCAATACTTGGTGGATATTGTTAAATTTCAGTAGCAATAAAATAGAGAATACCTCTAACATATTGTAGAATATGTACAGCTTAATAACAGACTGACTTTTGATTAAGTGATACATCATAGATGTATCAATGTACAGCATTAGCATACTACATATTATTAACATGAAAGCTTTTAGTAGATCACACACTTCAGCAGGTTTCAGAATACTTCCAAATTTAGACTTTTTAACACTGAAACAAAAAACACAATAGGCATTTCTGCCATTTAATAGTCTGCAAACATTTCAATAGTGTCCTAGCAAACTTTAATAAAACTTACCCAAAACATTCATAAACTGGTCGACTAATTACCGACCACAAAGCCAAACCAAACCTCATCGGAAGGAAAGTATAAACAAAAAGGAAAGAATCAGCACACTGAAACCATAAATACTTATGCATTAACATGTATTTTATTTTGTTATTGAAATATGAAGGGGGAAAATTCATGGCACATTCTATATTTGTTTTTCTAATACCTGAAAGAACCCATAAGCCATAAATTTTTCAACTTCTCGTGGAATTTTCATAAAAGAGTATATTTTCTCCCTCCTGGCTGAGAAACGTTCTTCATCATTTTCCAACAAATATCCACGTGTAAGCTCCACACCCAAGAAATGTAGCAGAGATGGCTGCTTGTCAGCATCTACAAAAAATATAAAAATTGAAAATCATTGAATGACAAACATTCCAATTTTGAGAACGTAAATAACAGAATATGAAACAACTATCTTATGAAATAATTATTTTATCTACATTATATTAAAGAAAAATATAAACAAAAACAGATAGTACATTACACTCTTGAAACTGGCATTCAATGGTAGTAGAAGCTATAAAAACTACAATTAATTGAATAATTCTTCAATAAAATTGAAGTCTGCATTTTTACTCGGTTAATATCGGAGAACATATTAGAATGGCAACATGTGAGACTTAATTTTGTGAACCAAAGCATACATTCCAGGGCTGATCTTTCAAGAAACTAACCTAACCTATTTAAATACACACATGTATAACTAGAGAAAAAAACAATCCTTTTAACTTGGAAATCACGTAGTAATCAAAACTGTCATTTCACTCACCCTTCCCATTGCTTTTACTGTTTAATTCTTCCAGTTTCTTAGAATTACGGGGAGTCCTTTCTGGGGGTTTAAAGCGAATTTTACGTCCTGGGAACATACTAAAATATTGTCATAGGTCACATCCTCCACATTATCAAGAATACAAATCAAAATGTGTCTACTGTGGACGGGCTGTTACTCTCCGAGTCCAGTCCAGGGTTCAGTGCTTTTCCAGTTGTCAGCGGTCCACGGCAGCGTAAACGAATCGAATCGAACCGAACTTCAGGGCTGGTTCACTCAATGTTAAACGCCGAACTTCCCAAATAACTCCGAAGCATATGATTCGCGAACGAGGAAAGAGAGATTCGATCTGTGGAATAGTCGATCCCAAAGAGAGTTACGGATTACAGGCGGGGGAATCAAATTCCCTAATTAAAAGATCATAGGAGGAAATAGAACTAGAAGCGAAATGAAGAAGAAACGATCACTCAGAACTTAATATTTATTGGAAGAGAACATATATTCATGTAAAATCATATTTTTACTGGTACACGATACCTGCACTCAAAAATATTTTTAGAATTTTCATGAATGAATTAAAACCATTTTTATTTTACATATTTTGATATAATTACATATTTTACCTATTTGTACACATTTTTTGCAGTGTAATATATTTAGATGTCGAAATGGAATATCTCATGTTCGAGTTTGCAAATAAATGCTCCTGTAATCGTGTTTCAGTGAAACAAAGCAAAGTAATACTACTCTTATTATGATCTTCCAACTTCGCCGTCAACAGGGCCGTATTTACACTGAAGCAAAAGAAGCAGTTGCTTGGGGTACCTCATCCGTAAGGGGCGTCGCTCTTCGGAAATAAAGTTTAATGTAATAAATATAATGTGCGTAAAATTATATATAAAAATTATTAGTTTTCATTTGTATTAGTACAGAAAGTACTTTATTAAGATAAATTTTATTTAATAAAGATTGATCAATTTTTACTGGGTACAACACAATTTTGTACTTGGGGCACAAAAGTTAAATCCGGCAATACTTAAATCCGCAATATGTAAATCTGCAATACTTAAATCTGCAATACTTAAATCCGCAACACTTAAATCTGGTCCTGGCAATCCATAGTCAATATTTCCTCATGCTTTTCTAAAATTGCGAACTCGGGATCAAGAAAGGGATAATTATTATGAAACAGACGTAATTGTAACCACGGACTTACTTATGTTTTATAAAGCTCATTCTCACTCGATCGAAATCAAGCACACATCCTCTACAGGTTGGGTTGTCTTAAGGATAACAACGTAATTTAGGACATTCGTTATATTTTTCAGAGGAAGTTGTTTATTTTTATACAACCAAATACTCTATGAAATAAATCGTATAACAAAGAAATAGAATATCAATTAAATAACTGAATAAATGATGGAAATAAATTACATTGCACTCTTTCAAGAATAGCAGAGTGACTTTTCTTTTTCTAGGGCGAATTTTCCTGATTTTTTCAAGTTATCCAGGTCATTTTCTTATTTCCCCATGACAAAATTTGTGAAGTATTTCAAGGCATTTAAATAAAATATTAAAAAAAGCATGACTTTGGCCGATATTAGAACGCTATTATTGACTGAGTCCTTTTCCCTTTCGCAGTCTCCACAATCATCTCCATTCTATACTCCCTCTTGCACTAACACATTAAGAGGGACAGATGCACTTCGATTCAAAACACACAGTACCTTTTCTTTATCCATTTACGTTATCAGTTTGCACCATAAAAATACAAAAATAATAATAATATTTGTTTAACAAAGGAATAAGCCGCTTTGTATATGTATATGTAGTGCATAGTTCTGTGCACTAGATCCAAAATGTTACTTTTTGTTGGACTGCGTGGAATTATGACATAGTAAAAATTTCAGGATATTTGGCAGAAACAAAGAAAAATCTGGCGGGAGACCAGTCAATATTCAGGTCATATTCTGATTTTTCAGGACGTTTAGACATCCTATTTACAGGTCATTGACTTCACACGCTTCTCGCATCCAGCCAAAAAATATACACCTGTGACAAGAACGCAGAATTTTACACTATACAAGAAATCCCACTCTTTCGGGCTAACTGAAAATACACTTTTGGAATCTGACCCTCTCAATCAGAAGCACTTGTTTTCAATGAACTGATTCTTACTATGGACAATGTTGAAATTTTTATTGTTTTCGCGTGCGTCAACTACGAGGGTCGGTCAGAAAGAAATGCCCCTTTTCTCGCCAGAAATATTTATTAGAAGAACCTGAAATTTGCAGATAATATTATTACATGGTTATTTAACTTTCTCTATTTTCCCACAAAATTTCCATCGACTTGTATAGCCTTACACCAACGTGAAAAAAGGGCGAGCATGCCTTGCTGGTACCAAGTCTTTTCCTGACGATGTAGCCATTCCTTCACTTCGCGGACCACACTGGCGTCATCACAAAATTTTCTCCTACGAATAGCGTTTTTCAGTGGCTCAAATTAATGAAAATTGAAGGGGGCTAAATTTAGACTGCATGGTGAATGGGGAAGCACAGTCCCACCGACTTTTGTTAGTGCTTCTCTTGTTGCGATATTTGCGCGGTAAAACGTACAAATATCTGGGCATTGAAGAATGTGAGTCCATCTCGAACGACACAATGAAAGAGAGTATTCGTAGGGGAGTATTACAAAAGAGTGAGACTCGTTCTGCAGTCCGCCCTGAACTCTAGGAATAAAATATATGCAATTGTTAGTTTGGCTGTGCCTGTAGTCGAGTAGTTTCGGACTCGTCGACTGGACTGAGCAAGAAATTCGAATCATGGATCGAAAAACCAAAAAACTGCTAACAATGCATCGCATCGCTCATAATCGAGCTGATGAACATAGACTTTGTGTCACGTAAGGAAGGAAGAAGAGGCCTTAGACAAATTGAAGCCTCCTGGCACAATGCAATAATCGGGATGGGAAAGTACGTAGTTAGTCATCAAGATGGCCCTCTAATGAGGCAGGTCATGAAATCCGACCGAAGAATGAGAAACAAAAGCATTGATAATGTTGCAAGAAGCATTGCAAAGAAAACTATGCAAGACACGCAGAATAACTCAGACACTTAACTTCTGATGCTACTAAACCTGAAATGTGAGACTCAAAAATTTTTAATAAATCGTGGAGAGAGAAACCACTCCATGGACAGTATCTAAAAAGAATGAACTACCGCCCTCGAAATTCCAAACACATGCCCCAAGTGGTATGAACACTCCCCAAAACCGGTGAATCTGTCGGACTCTATACAATATTGTACGACCACCAAATTCAAATCGCATGATAGCAGCAAACAAACCGGATATTATTATCCGGGTTTGGGAGAAAAATCGTGTCTACTTGTATATGATGCTTTGCCTTGTGATCAAAACATCGTAACAAAGAAGGCAGAGAAACGTCTTAAATACAAGAGTTTGAAAATCGAAATCAGCCGAATGTGGGGTTTAAAAGCATAGGTCTTACCGGTAGTCATCGGAGCTGTGGGATTTGTTCCGCAAAATTTGTGTAAGAACTTGGCTAAGCTCCCAGGTCATTCAAAAGACTGGGAAGTGCAAGAAATAGCTTTATTTGAAACATCCCACATTTTGCGCGAAGTATTGTATATACACATATATACATATATTTTCTGTGAGACGGACTGTGTATATGAGTATGATTGCCATTAATAATATTCAGAATTTAACCCTTATGTATCTTTTTTCATGTTTGACAATCAATAAACAAATTTTGAGAAAAAAAATACACGAAACGCCGAGTTCCAGTATTATAAAGACACATTTTTTGAGAACTTGTTTTTTGAACACCAACATTACACACAATCTCTTATGACATCGAACATCGCACAGAAAATGCAGGATTCCGAAACTAGTTCAATAAAATAACGTACGTCATTAAATAATTGCCGGGAGTACATCGTTTTTATTTACACATAACACAGAAAACAAGAATTACAAATCAACAAATGAAACACTACGAAACATAAATTTAACTAAACTTTATCCAAGAAACACTTATTAATAATGAAAATGAAATGTGCAGTTCAAAAGAATCGTAAAAGAAAATCCAGAACTTCCCGAAACTTGTTTCATTTGAAGTGTGAGGTTTTGAAGGTTCGCCAGTGTTCCGCGTCTCTCCTCCAGATACAATTGTGATGGCGATTCTAACTTAATTTGCTACTGACTCCTCAATGTATTGTTCTGTGACACTAGTTGAACGCCATCTCTCTTTTTCTCTTCCATCTAAGTTTCAAAATTTATCTTATTCTTTTCAATAATTTTTTGTTTATTTTCTAGGTATTAGCAACAATTTTGCTTTAGCATCTTTATTACTTATTGCCTCTGTTAAATCCATTTCACAACGAACCATAAACACCCCGGCCAACCACGGTCGCCCCTATTACAGTCGGCCTTGGCCTACATTATGTACGTAACATACCATTCTACTTCCAGGTTCAGTAACAATTTTACCCTTGTAATAATTTTATAATGATATTATACAAAAAATGGCGTATGCAATTCGTTATATTGTTTCGTTTTTGCACTCAGAAGAATAATATAAACTAATGGCATAATATACTGTTATTGATTGTCAAAAAAGAAAACAATTATACCTGAGTGTTAAAATATTATTATCAATAACAATTATTGTTTTATTGCTTAGGTTATTCTCCCTTCATGTAACGAACGATAAAATATCGGCTCACTTCCGCGAGAACACGGCGAAAGACAACATAGACCTACCAGGAGAATGTCGTCGTATTTAAAACTTCACACATTCACGGAATAGAGACGCTTTGCTTCGAGAAACTTAAGCCTTCATTGTTCGCTATTATCCTTGAGTCTGTTCAACACATAACTCCCAACGTATTTTTTTTCCAAAGTATTTTTTTGTCGAAGACTTTTAACTTGACTTCTGACGCTTCGTTGTGCGCGTCAATGTTTGATTTGTTTCAATTTATTTGAAAAAGATTTTAATTATATTTGTCAGATAACACTATTTCGAGATAAAGAGGAGAAGTGGAATAGACTGACATGATATTGACACTTAATGAATATGATTCCGACGACGTGTGTTGTAATGATAAATATCAGTCTTGCATAAAAAGATGTTCTCACCGTCAAATAAGTCAGTTTTGACAGAAACTACAGATTCGTAAATAAATAGGCAAGACTCAAGAGCTCCAGGATTTCAAGAGAGGATTGCAGGAATCACGTGGATGATATTTGTTTATTATTCCTAAATTTTTTCTGCAATCTAAAA